TTCCAATCGGTCACCGCTCAGGGGCCACATGAGTTTCCAGGAGACAGCGGCCCGTCTATTGTGGGTAGTGCAGGATGCACAGCCCGCGCGGGCGCGTGCGCGCGTTGTGCGCTGAGCCACTTGGCCGACATGCAACAACCCCATGTTAACTTGGAAATCCATTCGGCCACCGCCACGGGGCCGCTTGAATTGCCAGGCCAGCACGGCGGTCCTCTGTCGTGGATGATACAGAGTTCACAGCTCGCGCCCGCGCGCGCGGGCGCTTTGTACGCTGAGCTACTTGGCCAACATGGCACAACCACGTGCTAACTAGCATATTCAATCTTCTACCGCAACGGGCAACTTTTAGTTTCCAAGCAAACGTAGCGGCCCTTCTGGTGTGGATAGTTCGTAAGTCACTGCTCGCGCGCGCGCGTGGGCGTCCTTTACGCTGAGCCACTTGTGCGACATGCTACAACCCCATGTTAAATTGAAATCCAGTCGGCCATCGCTAGAGAGCCACTTGCGTTTCCAAGCCAATACGGCGGCCCTTCTGTTGTGAGCGATGCAGAGGTCACAACTCGCGCCCGCGCGTGCGCGCGGGTGCGTTGTACGCTGAGCAACTTGGCCGACATGCGGCAACCCTAGGTAAACTGGGAAAACCAATCGGCCACCGCTAAGGGGCCACTATGGATTCCAGACCAACATGACGGCCACTCTATTGCGTGCAATAAAGAATTTACAGCTTAATCGGCACGCTGCAAACTCATGGTTACTCGGAAATCGAATCAGCCAACGATAGGATTGCACTTCAGTTTCCAGGCAATCGTGGCGGCCCTTTATTATGGATAACCAAGTGATCCAGAAGTCGCAACTCGCGCGCGCGCGGGTGGGTGCGTTGAGCGCTGGACCACTTGGCCAACGTGCCACAAACCAGTGCTAACCTGGAAATCAATCCGGGGTTCCAAGCCAACACGGCGGCCCTTCTACTTTGGATCAGGGCTCGCAGCTCGCGCCCGCGCGCGCGGGCGCGTTGCGCGCTGAGCCACTTGGCTGACATGCTGGAAGCCACCGCAAAGGGGCTACTTGAGTGTGCAGGCCAACATGGCGGCCCTTCTACTGCGGGTAATACGAAAATTCACAACTCTCGCGCGCGCGCGGGCGCGCGCGAGGCGCCTTGCACGCTGGGCAACTTGGCCGACATGCTACAAACCCATGTTTAACATGGAAAATACCATCGGCCACCGCTAAGGTGCCACTTGAGTTCTCAGGCCAACGTGGCGGCATTTGCATTGCGGAGAATACAGGGTTCACAGCTCGCGCCTGCGCGCACAGGCGCGGGCGCTCTGTGCGCTGCACAACTTAACCGGCATGCTACGACCTTTTGTTAACTTGGAAGTCCGTCGGTTACTGCTGAGGGGCCACTTAAGTTTCTAAGCAAACATGGCGGCCATTCTATTGTTGGTGATACAGAATTCAACGCTCGCGCGCGCGAGCGCAAGCGGGCGCGCGCGCGCGTGGGCCCGTTGTACGCTGAACCATTTAACCAAAACGCTACAAACTCGAGCTATCTCGGATATTCAATCGGTCACCGCTAATGGGCCGCTTGATTTCCAAGGCCAGCATGGCGGCCCTGCTATTGCGGGTAGAACTCACAGCTCGCGCGCGCGCGTGGGCGCGCTGTGCGCTGAGACACTTGGCCGACGCTCTAGAAGCCCATGTTAAATTGGAAAAAGAAATCGGCCACCACTAAGGGGCTGCTTGAACTCCGAAGCCACCATGGCGGCCCTTCTGTTCTGGATAACGCAGAGCGGCGGCTCGCTCCCGCGCGCGCGGGCGACTTGTGCGCTGAGCCACTTGGCCGACATGCTACATCCCCATGTCAATTTGACAATCCAGCCGGTCACCGCTGGGGGGCCACTTTAGTTTCCAGGACAGCACGACTGCCCTTCTTTTGTGGATAACACAGAATTCACAGCTCGCGCCCGCGCGCGCGCGTGGGCGCGTTGCGCGCTGAGCCACTTCACCGACGCGCTACAAACCCATGGTGAATCGGAAATCCAATCGGTCTCCGCTAGGGGACCACTTGAGCGTCCATGCCAACATTGCGGCACTTCTATTATAAATGATACAGAATTCACAGCTCGCGCCGGCGCGCGCGCGCGGGCGCGTTGCGCGCTGAGCCACTTGGCTGGCGCGCTGCAGCCCCGCGCTACCTGGAACACCCATTCGGTCACCGCCCAAGAACCCCTTCGTTTCCAGGCCCCTTCGTTGCCAGACCGCTGAGAACAATGCAGAAATCACACCTCGCGCGCACGCGCGCGTGCGCGTTGTACGCTCGTCCTCCTCCTCCTCCTCCTCCTCCTCCTCCTCCTCCTCCTTTCCTCCTCCTCCTCTTCCTCGCCCAATCCTCCTCCTCTTTCTCCTCCTTTCCTCCTCCTCCTCCTCCTCATCCCCCTCCTCCTTCTCCCCCCCCTCCTCTTCCTCCTCCTCCCCCCCAAAAGCTTGCGCAGTCAATGTCATCATACTTCTGCTCGCCCCTTTCCTGCTTCTCCCGTCGCTCCCCCCTTCTTCCTTTTAGTCCTCGTCCTCCTCGTGTTCCCCCCCCCCGCCTCCCCCTCCCCCGCCTCCTCATCATTCTTCTGCGCCCTGCCTGTTTCGGCAAGGGCCGCGAATGTGCATTCGCGCCCGGGCGTGCCCAGGCTGACCCACGAAATTCAGTTTGACGGCTTCCCCATCAATTTCTCTTCGTTACACGGAATGTTCCCGCACTTCCCAGATCAAGACATTTCGCCTGGGTACTATTGCTGGGTGGACCGTGATGGATACGAACAGTAACGAAACCAACTACGCGATCAACCGCGAATGAAACTACACACGGAACTCCCCACAAACATGTTTCGCACGTGGCGTTCATCGTGCAACAGCACTTCCAGAAGGGCGAAAGAGGCGAAGCCTTCCCACAATAAAATCACGATTTCTGAATTCAAGCACACACAGTCCTTCAAGGCAAAAACAACAACAAACAATAATTCTGGATTTTCCAAACCATGCCTTCGGACAAAAACGTAATTTTAAATATTACATTTTAGTTGTGCCCCCCGGCCTGGCTGTTAGCGTTTTTGGGTGGCCCCCCCTTCCTGTAGACGGCCCCCTCACTAAGATATGGATGCGACCACCGCCCTCGTCAGATCAGGAGCCCTCCAGGGTCTGACGCCTCACGGGCACATTCCTCAACCAACGCCCAACCCTTATTTCATACAGTCGGGTCGTTGACCCAAGAAACCCTAAATAAGGAACGAGGCCCCTTTTTCCCATCAGTTAAGGTTCGATTTCCCATCGAAAACCTGGGGAAAACCTGAGGCAAGCTGTGAAACAATCAAGGGACACGGAGCCCCTCCCCAACGAAAAGGGTTCCTTCTTCAGCGCCCCGACTGTACGAGAGCTCGGCGGAGAAGTCGAAACATGCGCAGGCGCCGAAACGAGCACTGCCACCCTCGCCCAGACACACGGCGCGGCGCCTGGACCAGGACAGCACGCCGCCCGCTGTCGCGCGGCCCCCGGGTGCCGCCTGCCGCCTGCTCACGATTCGGCGGACGAAGCTCACGCCGCGCCCGCCCGGGAACGCCCTCCCTTCCATCGGGAGCGGCCAAGAGGGGGGTGTCCAAGAGGGGGGGTGCAAATCATGACCGGCGGCACGTGCGCGGCCCAGCGGGGGGGCCAGGGACGTAATGAAATAATAAGAGGCGTCATGAAATCTGGGGAAATATCATGACCCCCGCCATGATATCCACCCCCCCCTAGTCATCACCCCCCTCTTTTCCGCCCCCGGCGAAACCTGTGCGGAGCCTGGGCGAGGGCTCGCGCGCGGCCGCGCCACCAGCGCGACGTGGCGAACGACAGATTCGGCGTTGGACAAACCTCCCTTTAGTAAACCTCCCCTTAGTAAAAACTGCCTGGAACCGAAAACGACGGACCTGGACCCGCAAAAATGACGGCCGCGACGCCCTCTCGCGAACCGAAAACGGCCAATTCCTCAATCGACGTGTCAGGGTAGGAGGTCTGTCCAACCCCGACAGATGTGCGCTGCGCCCACGCGGACGCGGGAGCGCCGCTTTCACTCGAGAGCGGCATTGTTCGTCCGCGCGCGCGTGCGGCCCCGCTGGCAACGAACTGGGCGCGACGAGCGTGGACAGCGCTCAGGCGGGAGACTCCACTGCCAGGGGAATTGGCAACGACGCCGAGGCGAGAGAAACAGCTCGCCCTCTCGCGCGGGATGCGAGCGCGCCCCGTTCCTGCCACGCACTTGGCGACGTCGACGCAAAACACCGCCCAGGTTGGAAGGACTTGGAAGCTGGCTTGGTATTGCTTCTGTGGGCCGGAACCACCCTAAGATGAAGCCAGGATCGGGGCAATATTTGACCGGGATAAAAATCATGCTCGGTTTTTCAAATCACCGGGGGCGCCGCCGAACGGGCCTGCCACGCCTTGGGCGCCATCGGCTTCGCGAGGGAAGAAATGCGCCCCGGCGCGGGTCCGGTCGCTGTCGGCCGGCGAACTGCAACGTCCATGTTGGAAGGGCACACGCCAGCTCGGCATTGCTCTGTGATGGGCGGGCCGGAACCACCCGGACCCAGTCGCTATCGGCGGGGCGAACGGCAACGTCCATGTTGAAAGGGCAAACGCCAGCTTGGTGTTGATATTGTTGCTGGGCGGGCCAGAACCACCCAGATCCGGTGGCCGTCGGCAGGCGAGCTGGCCTAGCCTGAACAATCCATGGATAAGGACATGAGGACGAGGACGACGACGGCGATGAGGACGAGGACGACAGCGAGGTCGTCGTCGTCTCGCCGCCGCTGCCGCCACCGTGGCTGCCGTCGCCGCGGTTACCGCGGCTGCCGCCGCCACTGCTGCTGCTGCTGCGTCTGCTGTTGCTGCTGCTGCGGCTGCTGCTGCTGCTGCTGCGGCTGCAGCTGCCCGTCGCCGCCACCGCTGTGGCCCAGCGCGAGAGGCGCGGCAGCCTGCCGGGGCCTGGCGGTCGCTCGTGCGCCACCATGGCGGCCTGGCAACCGTGCGGCTTCGGCTCGCTGAGGGACGGGTGCCTGCCGCCGCCGTTTCAGCCACTGCCGCTGCCAACGCTGCTGCGGCGGCTGCCGCCGCCGCTGCCGCTGGCGGCCCTGCCACCGCCGCCGTCGGACTCGTCCTCTCCACTTCTGCGCCGCCTCTCTGTCAACTCATCCATCGATCCACTCCTCTCCTCCTCCTCCTCCTCCTCCTCCTCCTCCTCCTGCTCCAGCTCCTGCTTCAGCTCCTGCTCCTGCTCCTCCTCTTTCCCACCTGCTCATCCTCCTCCTTCTGCACCTCCTCCTCCTCCTCCTCCTCCTCCTCCTCCTCCCGCCCGCCCGCCCGCCCGCCCGCCGCCGCCACCGCCCTCCCTCCCTCCTCTCCCTCCTCCACCCTCCCTCTCCCTCCCTCCCTCCCTCCTCCCTCCCTCCCCTCCCCCTCCTCTTCCTCCTCCTCCTTCTACTAATCCTCCTTCTCCTGCTTCTGCTCCTGCTCCTCCTCCTCCTCCTCCTCCTCCTCCTCCTCCTCCTCGTTATGATCCTCCTCATCCTCCTGTTCCTCCTCATCCTCCTCCTTATCAATTCCTGTTTTTGCTGGATAACTTCTCCCTGTCGCAGCCCGAGGCCAGTTTTTAGGGCGGGCCCGGCGTTTCGCCTGAGACTTCCCCATCATGTATGACCCCGTAGCTTAAACATGGCAACAGTTTCACAGATGGCGGGTGGGTCGCTTTCACAATGTGGCTCTCGCCTTACATTCGATTTGAAAATTCGCCAAGGCTTCACGGATTGAGGGCGGGTCGGTTTCAACACGTGGCTCTCGCCTCAGCGCCGCGCGCATCCGCTTTACAAATTTGCCAAAGCTTCACGGATTGAGGGCGGGTCGTTTTCAAAATTTGGCTCTCGCCTTAGCGCCGCGCACATTCGTTTTGAACACTTGCAAGGGCTTCACGGGTTGAGGAAGGGTGGTTTTCAAAATCTGGCTCTCGCCTTAGCGCCGCGCACATTCGCTGTTAAACTTTGCAAGCGCTGCGCGGATTCCCATGATCAGCGTACCAGAAATGGTGTTCTGGAAAGGTTCAGGATTCCGAGGGCGCATGGGTTACGTTGATTCGCGGTGTTGAAGTTCCAGGAACGGCGTTCTGGCACGATTCAGGATCGTCAAGACGAAACAGTTAGGTTGATCCGTGGCGTTGGAATCCCGAGAACAATGGTTTGGCATGCTTCAGGGTCTTCAAACGGTTGTCTTGAGTGGACATGAAGCGTTGTAGGGGCCTATGAAAAGGGAGCGTGGTGGGAGGGTTTATTCCAACATCGTTGGTGAGTCGTGGGTTTACACTGGTCCTACTCCTCCTCCTCCTCCTCCTCCTCCTCCTCCTCCTCCTCACCACCACCACCATCATCATCATCACCATCATCCCCATCATCCTCATCATCTTCCTCATCCTGATCATCCTCATCGTCATCATAACCATCAACCTCACCATGACCATCATCAGCATCATCAACATCGGCAGCATCATCGTCCTCATCCTCCGTCTCGTCATCGTCAGCATCGTCATCATCATCATCAGCAGCAGGATCATCATCATCATCATCAGCATCATCATCAACATCATCATCATCATCACAATCATATCATCACCACCACCACCAGCATCATCATCACAGTCAGCAGCAGCATCATCACCACCAGCATCATCACCACCATGATCATCAACAACCTCATCAGCACCATCATCGCCAACAACATCATCATCAGCACAAGAAGCATCAGCATCATCATCATCATCATCATCAGCAGCAGCAGCAGCATCATCATCGTCAGCATCGTCATCATCATCAGCATCATCATGAAGCATCCTCATCGTCATACAACTTGAAATCATCGTCATAACAATATTCATAAATCAACATCATCATAGATCCCCATATCATGTCCACCTCCCCCGCAATCTTACCCCTGTCCCCAATCTCCTCGCTCCTCGCTCCTCATCGCTCCTCCTCGCTCCTCGCTCCTCGCTCCTCGCTCCTCGCTCCTCGCTCCTCGCTCCTCGCTCCTCGCTCCTCCTGCTCCTCCCTCCTCCCCTCCTCCTCCTCCTCCTCCTCCTCCTCCTCCCTCCTCGCTCCTCCTCCTCCTCCTCCTCCTCCTCCTCCTCCTCCTCCTCCTCCTCCTCCTCCTCCTCCTCGCAAGGAGCAGGCGCCTGGCCGCCCGCCCCGTGAACGTCTCGCCGCCGTCGCCCGACGCGCTCAGCACCCGCCGGCTGGCGCCCGCGGGCCAGTCGCGGCTGTTGAGCAGCACGGTGCCGTTGCCGAGCTCCGCCACAGCGCACTCGTTGGTGCCAGGCTGCGCCTCCGCCGCTCCTCCCTCCTCCTCCTCCTCCTCCTCCTCCTCCTCCTCCTCCTCCTCCTCCTCCTCCTCCTCCTCCTCCTCGCGGCAGAGGCGTTGGCGGCATCAGCGGCGCTGGCGGCAGCAGCGGCGGCGACCGCGGCGGCAGGGGCATCGGCGAGGAGCGGCGGCGGCGGCGGAAATTTTTAGGGGAGCTCTCTCGTTGGCTCCCGGGAGCCTCCTCGCCTCGGGGTGCGCTCCCGCGGCTGCGCTTCGCCGAGGGCGTCTCGGGGGTGCCAGCATCCCCCCGACCAGCAGCCAGAGGCCTCGAGTTTATGCCCCGTGAGCCGCTCTGCGAGGGTGGCGGCGGCAGCGGCGGCGTTGGTTGGCGGCGGCGGCGGCAGCAGCGGCGGCGGCGGCGGCCCGCGCGTTCGCCCACGCGGCGCCCCCGCGACGGCGGCGGCGGCGCCTCCGCCCCCAGGCGCCAAGTGGCGCCCAGGTCGTCGCTGCAGATGAGGTGTGAGCGCAGCAGCACGGAGCCGTCCTCGGCCTCCGTCGCGTGGTCGCACGGCGCGAGGAGCCGCCCGGCGTGCTCGCCGTGGCGGAGCTGGACGGCTCGGGTCGGCCGACAGGGGAGGAACTTTGGAGCCGCGAGTATACATACACACGAAGGGTATCTGGGCCCTGTCCCCATGGCACTTCGCGGAAACGCCACAGGACAACGTGTAGTGTGTAACTTTCTGGTCAGTTCTTCGGGCGGCGGGTGGCAAAACTACGCTACAGAGGAGCACCACATACTTGTGTCCGCCGGCCCCCTTGTGGGGCCACCAGGCTGTAGGACGAAGCTTCGCAGTTTCCTGTACCAGTTGCAGCTTCCAGTTTCCACTGTTACAGTTCTGCTTCTTGCTGCTTACTGTTCCTTGTTGACTTGTTGCTGTTTACTTTTCCTTGTTGATGGACCGCGCGAGGGGGGGAGGCCCAAAACGAACATTTCTACCATGCCCTGAGCGTGTTGTCTGAATTGCTGGGGTGGGTAAAAATTGACACCTCACACAGATCGGCGGGGTCAGGGTCCAAAAACATATGGGGTTTGCCACATTTCTGACATCCGGTGGCACCCCTCAAGCAGATCGGCGGGGTCAGGGTCCAAAAACACATGGGATTTGCCACATGTCTGGCATTCGGTGGCACCCCTCACGCAGATCGGCGGGGTCAGGGTCCAAAAACACATGGGATTTGCCACATGTCTGGCATTCGGTGGCACCCCTCACGCAGATCGGCGGGGTCAGGGTCCAAAAACATATGGGATTTGGTACATTATTAAAAATTTGCTGGCACCCCTCACGGAGATCGGCGGGGTCAGGGTGCAAAAACACAGGGGGTTCGCCACATTTCTGACATCCGGTGCACCCCTCACGCAGATCTGCGGGGTCAGAGGCCAAAAACAAAAAGGATTTGCGACATTTGTAAAATCTGGTGGCGCCCCTCACGCAGATCGGCGGGGTCAAGGTCCGAAAACCCTACGGATTCTCAACATTTCTGACATTCGGTGGCACCCCTCACGCAGATCGGCGGGGTCAGGGTCCAAAAACACAGGCGATCCTCAACATTTCTGAAATTCTGTGGCACCCTTCATGCGGATCGACAGGGTCAGGGTCCAAAAACGCAGAGGATTTGCAACATGTGTTAAAGTATCCTTGAGAGCCTGAATACCCTGAGGGCGTCAGGAAACTGCCACCTCTGCCACACTTTCCGAGCCTGGACCGTATAGAAACTGCGCTCAGGGACCACCCCCTGCGCACCCCCTCTGGTGTCGCACACTTTCCGAGCCTGGACCGTATAGAAACCACTCTCAGAGACCACCCCCAGCGCACCCCCTACGGTGTCGAGAAAGTGCCACGCCTGCCACACTTTCCGAGCATACGTCTTAAGTGTATGATGCAATGAACACGCCAGGCGTGCACTGGCGTTGTATGGTGTGTGTGTAAGTATATGCGAGTGTGTGCATGCGAGGGGCTTTATGTACTTGCGTGCCTTGTGTACATGTCGTGCATGTGTTGCGCGTGGGTGAGGGACGAAGGAGGAGGGGAGGAGTGAGACGCGGGTGCGACGCGGCAAGCAAGAAAACCATAACCCCACGAAACATGCGGGAACAAATGTGTATATTCCTATACGACCACCCTTCGGGTGATAATGAGGTTGTGGGGGGAAAAAAAGGGGGGACCCAACATCTGACTAAATCGATCTCACTATCGATCTCACTCAACGGGACACCACGGGACACCACGGGACACTTGTCAATCTCACTATCGATCTCACCCAACGGGCCACCACGGGACACCCCGGGACACCGCGGGACATCTCTCGATCTCACTATCGGTCTCACTATCGATCTCACTATCGATCTCACTCAACGGGACACCATAGGACACCACGGGACACCACGGGACACCTCGGGACACCACATCGATCTCACTGTCGAAATCACTATCGAGCTCACTCAACGGGACACCACGGGACACCACGGGACACCGGCGGGACACCAGCGGGACACCAGCGGGACACCGGCGGGACACCGCGGGCCACCGGCCGCCGGAGGAGAAACATTTGGTCTGGCCGCGGCCCAGCCACAGGAGGATTCCCTCTCGCCCGCCCACGCAGCTTCGCCTCGCCCGCACGCACGCACAGCACGCACGACACCCCGAAACCGAAACCGATTTCCCGGTAGGGGGGGTCTCCGTTTCACGGCGGACTCACCCCCCAACCTCCGATATCTATCTATCTATTTTTATTTATATATATATACATATATATATATATATGTGTACGCATAGATACACACACACACACTGTGTTCGGGCCGCCCTTTGCCACTACGTGGTGGACGCACACCACACGATGCAGTGGACATGCGTCTGGCCCCGAGATGACTATCTTCCAGACCACCCCACCCCAACCCATTCGGGTCTTCGGGTTGGGCCAACCGGAAGACCCGAATTTCGGGTTGGGGGGGTAAGGGCTCCACATGTGTTTTTGTCTATGTTTCCCGACCCCCCCCCCCACTGGAGATCGAGGGTAAATCTGAGCCTTCGGGTTGGGTTGGGGTGGTTTGGTGGGTGGTGACGAGAGTGACCTTGGGTAAGAGCGACCTTTGATGCGCGGCTTTTTGGGGACCGCGGGGGGGCCAAAAACAAGCGCGCAGGCCGCTGCTACCGCTTCTCTTTCGGCCATCTGGGCGCCCATCTGTGCCCGCACCAAAGGCCACTCCGGCGAAAGGTCACTCTTACGCCTAGTCGACCCGAGAGCTGCTCCTCCGCCGAAGTGGTAAAACCCCCTGGGAGCTTCCAGAGTAGAGGGGGGGTCTCACCACCGAACAACGAGTAGTAAGACCTCCCCCCAGGGTGTCACCCAGGGGGATCCTACCAAAGGAAACCAAATGTGTGGTAAGACCTCCTTGGGATCCCCCAGGGTGGGTAGGACTTACCACACGAAAATCGACTTTCCTTCGGTAACACCCCCCCCGCGGCGGCGGCCCCCGGCGGCACGCCGTGCCCCCTGCAGGCGGAGCGCGCGTCGCTCCGCGCCGCGCCGCGCGCGGCGGGGGGGCGTGCGGCGAGCGGCTCCCGCTCGGGAGGCCGCCGCCTGTGGGGCAGGCGGGGCGCGCGGGCGCAGCGCGTGCGGCCTGCGGCTCCGGAGCGTGGCGCGGCGGGAGGCGGCGGGGCCCAGGCTCGTGACCGTATGTAGACTCGCGGAGGCCACGACAAGGGACACCCGACCAGTCCTGCAGTCGGGGCGTTGACCTAAAAGGAGCCCTAAATCAGGAACGAGGACCGTATATAGACTCGTGGATGCCACGACAAGGGACACCCGACCAGTCCTGCAGTCGGGGCGTTGACCTAAAAGGAGCCCTAAAATAGGGAACGAGGACCGTATATAGACTCGTGGATGCCACGACAAGGGACACCCGACCAGTCCTGCAGTCGGGGCGTTGACCTAAAAGGAGCCCTAAAATAGGGAACGAGGCCCCTTGTTTTCTCCAGAAGTGGAGCTTCGATTTCCCATCGACAGCCTAAGGAAAGCCTGAGGGAAGCTGGGAAACACTGAAGGAACGCGGAGCCCCTCCCCAACGAAGAGGGCTCCTTCTTCAGGGCCCCGACTGTATCGTTGAGTCTGGGATGTGTTTAAGATGTCGGGGAATCTGTGCTAAACATGTTTGGAGCATGTTGCTTCCATGTTAAAAGCATGGTCTACACGTGCTTTAGGCAAATGGGAATTGGTTGGCAACACGCTTCCTCTCCACTGGTCGTCCTCCACAATAGTAGACAAAGGGGGGCCGAACCAGCCTCGAACTTACCCCTATCCCTAAGACGGGCGAGCAAGAACCGAGGGGACACTCTCAGGGACAGGCCCTCAGAAACCTAGGGGATCCTTCAGATCGGCATCGAGGTGAGGTGGTGCCAAACACAGGGATAAGGATATGCTTCAAACTGGTAACAGCTGAACGAAACAGCTCGCGCAGCTGGTTTGCCAGGCGCCTCCCGGCGCGGGAGGCGGACGCGTCGGTGCATCGAGGAGAGCTCCCAGCGGCTGGGCCGAAACCAGCTGCATGCAGCAATGTGCGTTGTAACTCCCCCTTTTTCCCCATCTCCCCCTGGCCCAATCCCCAAACCCAGACCCCGACGTCGTGAACTTCTTTGCAGCGTGGACCCCACGGTCCAGACACGTCTTCCACGACAGGCTTTCCACCCAGAGCCGCTTGCAGACGGCCCCGGGTAGCCCCGCGGGGCGCCCCAGGGGCCCAAAACTGTGAACGACCTCCCGTGGCTTGCTTCCCAAACCCAGGTGGTCTGGCTTTCGGGTCACGGCTCGGAACTCTGGCGGCCAGCTGGGACGATCCGAGCAGCCCTGGACATCTCTCGGGGAGGCGCGGCTGCGGGAGCGCAGCACGAGGCTCGAAAACCACCGCGAGCCGGCGGCAAAGGCACCCGGAAACCTCGACCCCTGCGCCCCTCTGCCGCACCCCTCCCCTCTCGTCCGACCCGCCTGGCCGCGCCCGGGCCCGTGGCGTACCAGGTCCACGAGGGCCTCTTCGCGCTCGCCGTGACGTTGCGCGGCCGGCTCCACGTCTCGCCCGGGGGTTGCCACAGGTGCCCCATTGCCGCCTGGCCCAGGGTGTCCCCCGCGCCTCTCGCTCCACCTCGGAGCTTCGGGGGCCCTCAGGGCCTCGCAAAAAGAACGCTCTGGAGGTCACCCGGGCCTCCTGGGAGATCCTGGGGGCAGCTCCCCAGACCTGGGACGTCTTAATTTGTCCCAAACGCGGTCCCCGGAAGTCCCGACCCCTCCCCTCCTCCTCCTCCTCCTCCTCCTCCTC